ATTAAGATGTAAAAAAATACCCTTAAGGTCATTTGATACATGAGTATGGGTGAAAAAATCAATAGGTATGGCCGCTCTTGAGGCTCTGACATCAAAGATGTCACCCATCCTTATAAGGAAAGCAGCTACAAACTAAAAAAGGTAATAAGAAATGAATAAGAAGAAACAGCAGTGAGCGCTAATCCTGAAAGCGGCTAGGCACTCTAAGCAACCAATAACACTTAAAAGCAGTAACATAAAATAGTGCAGCGCTGAAAATAATGACAAAATGGCAAAAAAGTAGTCCACTAAAAGTCTATGACATATAAACGTATCCAGTGTCAGATGTGGATTCAGAATAGGTGATCCGTGTGGAAATGGCTGGAAAACGCACTCACCAGAAGTAAGACACATAAACGCAGTGTGTATATAAAACTCAAGGATCTTCAATCCAGAGGGAAGTAAAGCTGATCCAGTTACAGGAATGGTGAATCCCTCCTCCGCAGGTGCAGCAACCGATCTTTCTTAACACGATTAGATGTAGAATTCCAAGGCCAAGGTTCTGCAAGCAAAAGCCTGATACTTTGAATAGTGGCCGCCGGGCCTCCACGTGGCACCGTCGGCGTAGCGTCTCGACGTCCAGGCTCCTCCTTACGCGTTACGTGCGCACGCACATCTTCAGAGGTATGGAACCATTGACGTGTGGACGCGAATGGGCGCATATATATAGGCATAATGACGCATGCGCAGTAGCGTGTACGCAATGCGCAAAACCCAAGGCGCATGCGCGTGGCTCCGTCTTCCATTGTAATGGAGCTCGGAGACGCAGGGTGGAAGGGCGAAATGCCCTATTGTTGACAGATAAATGTCAAACAGAAGTCAAGTCCAACAACGGTGTAAAATACACCTAATTAAAACAATCCGATAAGGATCTATGTAAAATATGCAAAGAGGCGCGATAGCGCCAATATGTTGAACTATCCCAATTAGATAATATCTAGGTAAATGTATACATGCGTCATTATAACTTAAAATTAATCAACATACAGTGAAGACATCATATACATAAAAATAAAAGAAGAAGTTCTTAAAACATAAAATAAAATAACAATGAGAAGGCTGCAGAACTAAATCTGCACCAACCTGAGTAAAAAATGCAAATCATTAAGAGATCATGAAAAGTGCTAAGGTGGAAGCGCATGTGAAACGGTCAAGCCATGCGTCCATAACCATGCGTCTAAAACATGGAAAAATGGGGTGAAATTTACATCATCCATTGGCAATAAAGCAGTTAAGATCTAGATCTATATTGAGCCCCGCTGGGTGGGAAGTCCCCAATTCGAAAATATGCTTAGTCTCCAGCTGGGAAACTGCTCTCACTTTGTGTGTGCCTCTAAATCCAGTGAGGGGTGACTGAGTCGATCCCCACAAACTTAAGTGATGTGGGATCTCTATGGTGAAAACGTCTGTAATGTAGAGATAGAGAATGGTCTCTATAACCTTTTCTGATATTGGCAATGTGTTCCCGAAGGCGATCTCTGAGCCTCCTGGTGGTCCGGCCAATATATTGCTTGGAGCACGGGCATTCAAGTAGGTATACTACAAATTTGCTGTCACAACTAATAAATTTGTCTATTTCGTATGTCTTGTGTGTTTGACTGGAATTGTAGGAAAAGATTTTCTTCTTTCTAATTCCATTGCACTTACAAGCAATGCACCTATTACAGGGGTAAAAACCCTTCATGTTAAATAATGTGAGTGGTTGGGCAGGGGGGTTAATAATATTAGGAGATATTTTATCTCTGAGAGTGGCTGGCTGCAGAATGCTACCTAAGACAGCAGAGCCCTCTCAGTTCCACCCATATAGATTTCATCTTAGAACTACTTGAATTTGCAATGGTTAAGAACTACATGTGGTTTGATGGCAGTTATTATTTACAAATAAAGGGTGTGGCTATGGGGGCGAAATTCGCCCCCAGTCTCGCCAATTTATTTATGTCCTTTTGGGAGGAAGAGATTATATATTCCAGGGACTGGCCAGAATTGGCCTTCTATAGGAGATACATTGATGATATTCTCTTGTTGTGGAATGGGGATACACAATCACTAAATAACTTCTTCACAACCCTGAATTACAACAATCAAAACATTAGACTCACTTACAACTTCAGTCATGAAGAAGTCAGCTTTTTAGACCTCACCTTGATGAGGGTAGATAATAAAAATTATCACCAAAACATTTTTCAAGTCGTCCGACCGGAATAGTTATATTCCTTTGGACAGTTGCCACCACCCCAGCTGGCTTGCTAACATCCCTAAAGGACAATTGCTAAGATTGAGAAGGAATTGTACTAATACCTCAGACTTTCAGGTACAAGCCGACATTCTGAAAAAAAAAACGTTTTTTGGAGAAGGGCTACAATGGGGTATCGATTGATAACACCATCTTAGATATTACCCAGATTAACCAGGAGGAACTCCTGGGTACCAATTCCAAGAAAATGAATGACATTTTTTGTCCGTTCATTACTACCTTCTCTGTCCAACATAGAGCGGTTAAACATATCATCAGGAGGAATTGGAATATATTAAAATCAGATCCAGTTCTGAAGGACATACTTCCTGAGACACCTGAAGTAATTTTTCGGAGACCAGCCACTCTCAGAGATAAAATATCTCCTAATATTATTAACCCCCCTGCCCAACCACTCACATTATTTAACATGAGGGTTTTTACCCCTGTAATAGGTGCATTGCTTGTAAGTGCAATGGAATTAGAAAGAAGAAAATCTTTTCCTACAATTCCAGTCAAACACACAAGACATACGAAATAGACAAATTTATTAGTTGTGACAGCAAATTTGTAGTATACCTACTTGAATGCCCGTGCTCCAAGCAATATATTGGCCGGACCACCAGGAGGCTCAGAGATCGCCTTCGGGAACACATTGCCAATATCAGAAAAGGTTATAGAGACCATTCTCTATCTCTACATTACAGACGTTTTCACCATAGAGATCCCACATCACTTAAGTTTGTGGGGATCGACTCAGTCACCCCTCACTGGAGAGGCACACACAAAGTGAGAGCAGTTTCCCAGCTGGAGACTAAGCATATTTTCGAATTGGGGACTTCCCACCCAGCGGGGCTCAATATAGATCTAGATCTTAACTGCTTTATTGCCAATGGATGATGTAATTTCACCCCATTTTTCCATGTTTTAGACGCATGGTTATGGACGCATGGCTTGACCGTTTCACATGCGCTTCCACCTTAGCACTTTCATGATCTCTTAATGATTTGCATTTTTTACTCAGGTTGGTGCAGATTTAGTTCTGCAGCCTTCTCATTGTTATTTTATTTTATGTTTTAAGAACTTCTTCTTTTATTTTTATGTATATGATGTCTTCACTGTATGTTGATTAATTTTAAGTTATAATGACGCATGTATACATTTACCTAGATATTATCTAATTGGGAATAGTTCAACATATTGGCGCTATCGCGCTTCTTTGCATATTTTACATAGATCCTTATCGGATTGTTTTAATTAGGTGTATTTTACACCGTTGTTGGACTTGACTTCTGTTTGACATTTATCTGTCAACAACAATAGGGCATTTCGCCCTTCCACCCTGCGTCTCCGAGCTCCATTACAATGGAAGACGGAGCCACGCGCATGCGCCTTGGGTTTTGCGCATTGCGTACACGCTACTGCGCATGCGTCATTATGCCTATATATATGCGCCCATTCGCGTCCACACGTCAATGGTTCCATACCTCTGAAGATGTGCGTGCGCACGTAACGCGTAAGGAGGAGCCTGGACGTCGAGACGCTACGCCGCCGGTGCCACGTGGAGGCCCGGCGGCCACTATTCAAAGTATCAGGCTTTTGCTTGCAGAACCTTGGCCTTGGAATTCTACATCTAATCGTGTTAAGAAAGATCGGTTGCTGCACCTGCGGAGGAGGGATTCACCATTCCTGTAACTGGATCAGCTTTACTTCCCTCTGGATTGAAGATCCTTGAGTTTTATATACACACTGCGTTTATGTGTCTTACTTCTGGTGAGTGCGTTTTCCAGCCATTTCCACACGGATCACCTATTCTGAATCCACATCTGACACTGGATACGTTTATATGTCATAGACTTTTAGTGGACTACTTTTTTGCCATTTTGTCATTATTTTCAGCGCTGCACTATTTTATGTTACTGCTTTTAAGTGTTATTGGTTGCTTAGAGTGCCTAGCCGCTTTCAGGATTAGCGCTCACTGCTGTTTCTTCTTATGCATTGATAATATTAGATGTACAGCTTGTTATGTTTGTGTTGTATATTTACAATGTTGGATTAAAGGAGTAGCAGAATTTGCCCCTGGATGTGGTATAGGAGCGAATTGCATAACAAGCATGGGGCACAATAGGCTATCCAGACCATATTGAGTTCCCTCTGTGGATTGTATTCATTGGTTGGAATGTGTGAAGTCTTTTGAATGTTTATGTATGACTAGGATTCATTTGCATTGAGATTGTTTAGCCTGGATAAAATGTAGTGTTTATTTCCACCTTAGAATGCCACCAGCAAAGGGCAATGTCTACATTGTGCAAAAAGGATTTTATCAGTCCCAACACTGTTTTTTTTTTCTGGTCGGGATACCCCTAATGATGCTGTCTCCCTCAATACACCATTGGAGTACTTCCGAAGGTTTGTGTCAGAAGACATGATCCAGGCTCTGACCCATCACACCAATGAGAACAGCGTTCTTAGGAAAGGAGCATCAATAAATACCAACACAAAGGAAATAGAACAAATGATTGGCATGTATCTGAAGATGGGGCCTTGTTCAAATGGTTGGAGTCTGTATGTATTGGGAAACAGGCACGAAGTACACCCCTGTTTCAGATGTGATGTCACGGAACCAGGGGCGGACTGACAACTCATGGGGCCCCTGAGCAATAGGAGATCATAGGGCCCCTGTGTCCTCACCTACACTCAAACCACAACCTAAAAAAGCTTATGAAAGGTACCAGGGGCATCTCATGGGGCCCCCTACTGACCCCCGGGCCTTCGGGCAGTGCCGGAGTTTCCAAATGGTCAATCCGCCCCTGCATGGAACAGATTCTAGTCTTTCTCACAATCATTACATTTCGGAAACAATTTGATTTAGATGGGAAATAGAAAGACAGACTTTGGAAACTCAGACCATGGCTTCATGTACCAGAAGAACACAACTCTGTGGATGAAATGATGATTCCTTTTAGGGGGACATTTTAGCAGCATCAAGCAATACATGCGTGGCAAGCAACATCCATGGGGGCTCAAGGTATGGGTAAGGACAGGCATCTCTGGCATACTGTGTGACTTTGATGTGTACCAAGGCAGTGTGAATGGAATATGTGCTAGATCTGAACTTGGATTGTCAGGAGATGGGATGAAGCTGGCCTCCACACTTCCACAAGGTCACAACTACAAGATCTATACAGACAACTATTTCACCAGAGTCCCACTGAGTGCCAATCTGCTTGACCAGGGAATTCATTACACTAGAACAGCCAGGCAGGTACACCTTCCCAAGTGTAACCTTGATGGTGGGGAAAGCCTGAAGAAAAAGGGCAAAGGAAGCTTTGATGTCAGAGTGGAGGTGAGTGACAACATCTGTGCAGTGAAATGGTATGAAAACAGGGAGATCACACTGTTGTTATCCTTTGCTGGGCCAGAACTGGTGGAGAAGATTCAACAATGGAACAAAGCCACCTAAAGATATGTTGAGGTTCAAAGGTCTTACATTGTGGGTGTCTACAACAAATTCATGGGTGGTGTGGATATGTTGGTGCAGCAAATTATGTTTCCTTTGAATTCCTGCTGCTGGTACATTTACATCTTCTGGCACACCATCATCCTAGCTGTGATCAATGCATGGCTGCTGTACAAACAGGACTGCAAAGCACGGAATGCTCCCAAGAAAAAGATACTAAACAGGAGGCTGTTCCAAGCCCAGTTAGCATCCTCTCTTATCCTAGTCGGCACAACTGTCATTAAATCAATGAGAGGGTGACCAGGTTTAATCCATGGGAGCTCAATTCCACAGACAGAGCCCCTTAGATAACAGGAAGAGACCATCCACAGAGAAAGGGAGTCCTTCAAATGGCCCCCCAGACAAAAGGTCAACTGTCCATCCACCATGAGACATTTGCAAGGACATGTATGGTAATGTCGCTATAAAAACAAGTAGTGGATGCCGCAGACACTGTGGTATAGGATATACCAACCCACTTTGCAGCAAGTGCAATATCCACCTCTGCCGCAAGTGCAATATCCTCCTCTGCAGCAAGTGCAATATCTGCCTCTGCAGCAAGTGCAATATCCACCTCTGCCGCAAGTGCAATATCCGCCTCTGCAGCGAGTGCAATATCTGCCTCTGCAGCAAGTGCAATATCTGCCTCTGCAGCAAGTGCAATATCCACCTCTGCCGCAAGTGCAATATCCGCCTCTGCAGCGAGTGCAATATCCGCCTCTGCAGCAAGTGCAATATCTGCCTCTGCAGCGAGTGCAATGTCCGCCTCTGCAGCGAGTGCAATATCTACCTCTGCAGTGAGTGTAATGTCTGCCTCTGCAGTGAGTGTAATGTCTGCCTCTGCAGCGAGTTCAATGTCCGCCTCTGCAGCGAGTGCAATGTCCGCCTCTGCAGTGAGTGCAATATCCGCCTCTGCAGCGAGTGCAATATCCGCCTCTGCAGCGAATGCAATATCCGCCTCTGCAGCGAGTGCAATATCCGCCTCTGCAGCGAATGCAATATCCGCCTCTGCAGCGAAGTGCAATATCCGCCTCTGCAGCGAGTGCAATATCTCTGCAGCCTGCAATATCCGCCTCTGCAGCAGCGAGTGCAATATCGCCTCTGCAGCGAGTGCAAATATCTGCCTCTGCAGCAGCGAGTGCAATGTCGCCTCTGCAGCGAGTGCAATATCTGCCTCTGCAGCGAGTCCAATATCTGCCCTCTGCAGCGAGTGCAATAGCCGCCTCTGCAGCGAGTGCAATATCTGCCTCTGCAGCGAGTGCAATAGCCGCCTCTGCAGCGAGTGCAATATCTGCCTCTGCAGCAAAGTGCAATGTCCGCCTCTGCAGCAAGTGCAATGTTCGCCTCTGCAGCAAGTGCAATATCCGCTCTGCAGCAAGTGCAATATCCGCCTCTGCAGCAAGTGCAATGTCCTCCTCTGCAGCGAGTGCAATATCCGCCTCTGCAGCAAGTGCAATGTCCGCCTCTGCAGCAAGTGCAATGTCCGCCTCTGCAGCAAGTGCAATATCCGCCTCTGCAGCAAGTGCAATGTCCGCCTCTGCAGCAAGTGCAATGTCCACCTCTGCAGCGAGTGCTATCCAGCGAGTGCAATGTGCAATGTCCGCCTCTCTGCTTCTCAGAGGACAAGAACTGCCTTTGGGACTATCATAACTAAGCATGGCTATGAACATAGCTAAACATAATAAATGTCAAAGTTTTCATTCAATGCAGCAGGTTTTGTAGAAAAAGTTTGAACATAGTTTATAATAAATGATTATTAATAGAGATGAGCGAATCGAACCAGGCGAAGTGGAATTCGATTCGAATTTCAGGAAAAATCGGATCGGATTTTTTCCCGATCAGCTGGCAAAAGTGTCCCTGCAGAGAGCTCCGCTATTTCTGACAGTTCTCTGACAGTTCCTTCACACGTACAGCGGTTGAAACATTGTATCTATTTGTTTCCATTTAGGATACAGATGTTTTTATTCGGAAATAGATACAAATGTTTCAACCGCTGTAAATGTGAAGGAACTGTCAGAGAACTGTCAGAAATAGAGGAGCTCTGCAGATACACTTTTTGCGAGCTCTGGAATACACTTCTTTCTGCAGAGCTCCGCTAAGAAATAGCGGAGCTCTGCAGATACACTTTTTGCCGGCTTGGAATTCTCCTTCTTCTCTACTTCTTCTTCTTCTTCTTCTCATCTTCTTCATCCTTCCTCATCTTCTTCTCTCTTCTCTCATCTTCTTCCTTCTTCTCATCCTTCCAAGCCTTCTTCTCATTCCTTCTTCTTCTTCTCATCTCTGCAGATCACTTCCTTTCTTCTTCTTCATCCTTCTTCTCATCTTCTTCTTCTTCTTCTTCATTCCTTCTTCTCATCCTTCTTCTTCTTCTCATCCTTCTTCTCTCCTTCTTCTCATCCTTCTTCTCCTTCTTCTTCATCCTTCCCTTCTTCATCTTCTCATCCTTCTCTTCTTCTTCCTTCTCCTCTTCTCTTCTTCTCATCCTTCTCCTTCTTCTTCTTCTTCATCCTTCTTCTCCTTCTTCTCCTTCTCCTCCTTCTCATCCTTCTTCTTCATCCTCTCCTCTCTCTTCTCATCCTTCTCTCATCCTTCTCCTTCTTCTCATCCTTCTTCTTCTCCTTCTCTTCTTCTCCTTCTCCTCTCCTTCCTTCTCTCCTTCTCCTTCTCTCTTCTCCTTCTTCTCATCCTTCTCCTTCTTCTTCATCCTTCTTCTCTTCCTTCTCCTTCTTCTCATCCTTCTTCTCCTTCTTCTCTCCTTCTTCTCATCCTTCTCCTTCTTCATCTCTCCTTCTTCTTCTCATCCTTCTTCTTCTTCTCATCCTTCTCCTTCTTCTCATCCTTCTCCTTCTTCTCATCCTTCTTCTCATCCTTCTTCTCATCCTTCTCCTTCTTCTCATCCTTCTCCTTCTTCTCATCCTTCTCCTTCTTCTTCTTCTTCTCATCCTTCTCCTTCTCATCTTCTCATCCTCTCTCCTTCTCCTTCTTCTCTCCCTTCTTCTCTCCTTCTTCTCTCCTTCTCCTTCTCCTTCTTTCTCATCCTTCTCCTTCTTCTCATCCTTCTTCTCTCCTTCTTCTCATCCTCTCTTCTTCTCATCTCTCTCCTTCTCCTCTCTTCTTCATCCTCTCCTTCTCCTTCTTCATCATCCTTCTCCTTTCTCCTTCTTCTCATCCTTCTCCTTCTCCTTCTTCTCATCCTTCTCCTCTCCTTCTTCTCATCCTTCTCCTTCTCCTTCTTCTCATCCTTCTCCTTCTCCTTCTTCTCCTTCTCCTTTCTTCTCATCCTTCTCCTTCTCCTTCTCCTTCTTCTCATCCTTCTCCTTCTCCTTCTTCTCATCCTTCTCCTTCTCTCTTCTTCTCATCCTTCTCCTTCTCCTTCTCCTTCCTCATCTCCAAGGGCATTTAAATTAAAGGTACAGTGTTCTGCACTAATTTAAAGGCTCTCTGAAGCCTAGAAACCCTTTTTATAAGTTAACTTCGTAGCGAATAAATTTGCATCGAATCAAATTTCTTCCTCAAATTCGGCGAATCAGCCGAATCGAATTTTTGAATAATTCGCTCATCTCTAATTATTAATAAAACATATGACTTGTATGATTATTATTTTTGTGATAATTAGTGTATAGAGATATAGGCCACTGATGAAGGACTTAACAAGCAGAAAGCCCTTCAAAAAAACACACTTTGTTGGTCTCTACATTTGTTCTGACAGTATGAGTAAAATTACTGAAATTCTGCTGCCAAACAGGCCCAATGTTGCAAAATTACAACGTTCACCAAAAAATGTTCTAAAATTTCAAAAATGTTAAAACCCATTGATTTCTGCATTAAAGGCCTCCATTAGTAGAAGGCCCACGCACCTCTGAACTTTCACAAAGCACCTATAATTTGGGATGTTCTGATCTGGTAGGAGGCTGTGTGTGTTTGGTGGCCGGATTCACTGGTGGCCGGATTCTCACTGGTGGCCGGATTCCAACAAGATCTTTTTTTGGGTGGAACTAAAGGGAAATTTTTATTTATACTTCAACACACGGTGTTAATGGATTATTTCAATTATGTGGTGTTATTGACATTTTATTGGTACATTTATGTATTTGAGATCACTTTCACATTCATGAGTATTTAAATGTACAGGATCTGAACCTTCCTTGCTGGGTTCCAATTTTCTTTTTCTAGGCAAGCAATGGAACTAGACCCTTCATACATTTCTAATCCCCACCATGAGCCGCTATGCCACCTTAGTGAACCTTAACCCTCCCACCCAGGTTTAATCACATCAGCTGTCATGGGGAGCACACAGCCGGACCCGAAGGAAGAGACATCC